GGGTGCTACTATGAGCGAACAAAAATCTAATATTCTAAAAATTCTTTTATTTTTGTTTTAGTTAATCTATTTGTTATTAAGTGTATATAAAATCTTAAGGTAAGGTTGAAAACTAATTTTTTGTATGCTTGTGGTAATCTATTTTTTATTATATTTTTCATAAACTTTTAAGTAATTCTTCAAAATCTAGTAATGTTTGGGAATTTATAATATCAATATCTGTTATCATATCTATGTTGTTCTAAAAGGTATATCATATTTTGAGATATTTTTCTTTCTTTTTTCCAATTTATCTATTATATCTTGTATATCTTTTATGATTATTGATCTTATAATTCCTTTAGCAAAATTTTCTAATAAGTTTTCTTTGAAACATTTTAATATTTCTCGTGATGCATATAATTGTTCTTGATATCCTATCTTATTAATTTCTTTTTCAAACTTAATTTCTTTTTTATTTTTAACAACCTTTTTTTATATTATATGATCCTCTCTTATATTTGAGTTTTTCTATTTTATAATTATTCATTAATAATTTTCACAAAATTTTAGAAAAATTACTTGTTAGATTTTTTAAAGACTTAAATAGAAGATTTTTATTAGATAAAGGTTGTTTTTTAATATTTGTTAAATGGTGTTTTAGGTAGTTCAAAATGTTTACAAAAGTCAAAGGTCATTTTGAAAAATCCCTCTTTTATTTGGGTCAATTTCATGTATTTCCCGTATAAGTGGAGGGGTCTCACAGTGAAATATTTTTAACCACACATTTATACAATAAAGAATTTTGCACGTAAATTTAAATTTTTTCTTACATTTTAATAACACATTCTTAAAAATATCACCATTCAAAACTCTATTTTTCTCAAAATAGCAACCATGAAACCGGGGCAGTGTTTATTTCGTTACAAGTTGTAATAAAAATCGTTTTTCACCATATTTTTTCTATTCGTTTTAATTTTCCAAAGGATTATTAAAAGATTTCACTCTGAACCTCTCTCCCAAATAAATAAAAAGAAGGTACCTAAGACCCATCAATTTGGAAAGATCACATCCTTATCACTGTAATAAATCCAAATGATTTTTCATACAAAGTCCCTGTTTGATATGGTTAAAGATTAAATTTTAAGTAAATTTTCATAAAAGTTGACGATACAAGTGATTAAAAAATTGTGAATCCTATGAAATACTGATCAAAATTATTTATTATATTTAAGTAAAATTTTAATAAAAATTATAATACACACCAAACGATGGCTAGAAAGTAAGAATTGAGGGTCACAGCTATCAGCCATTACTGTCTATTCTCTATTAAAAGTAAAGTACAAAGTACCAATCCAATTGTTTTCATAAAGATTCATTATCCTTTCTATTTCCATTACTCTGTTTCTAGTTAATAATGTCAGGTTAAAAAGCAACCAGGCATAGAGAATAGAAGGAAAGCAATCAAGATTGAATTTGAATTCCTTTTTGGTGTAAATTCAAATCATGCTTTTAGTAGATTTTAATAAAAATCGATAAAATTGTGTTTAAAAAGTTATAAATTTTATAAAATGTGTGATAAAAATTATATATTGACTTGAATTTGAAATTTTAATTGAATTTTGATCCAAACCGATAAGGAATCTTGTGTTATACATTTAAACTAATACAAATTCTAATATTAACTCTTGCATTTGCTCATTTAAATATTGTGCTCTAGATAGATGACTTTTATTCTCAAGGAAATTGCACATTTTCTAGGTTTCCAATCTCAAAAGGAGAAACACATAAGAATTCTTAAATTAAATGAAAATGAGATGTAACTTCAGTCCATCCGAAATCTATAATAAATCATATTTTCTATGGAAAGTTGACAACTGAATTCGATTTGAACACTATCCGTGTGGCCGAGAGCCCTCACAGCCCCCGAAGATAGATTGTTACGAGCCATACTTGACATTCAGGTATCTTCTTCAAACATAACCTTCATATCCATAATAGTGCAAAAAAGAAGATCCAACTCCAAATTGTTCAAGAATAGGGGCATTGAATATCTTGACATTTTCACTTTAGAATAATTTATTTCTCAATGAAGGCAAAGAAGTGAAAAATTAAAATTATGCCAAGCACGAGAGAGTGTAAGCCTTTGATTGGCTCCAATTTTTTAATTCTCCTTTTTCTAGATTCATTTTTAACAACATATTTTATGAAACTCGCGACTTTTATCAATTTTTTTATTATGTATTCATTAATTTTTGATGATCAATTCGACTTTCATTTCCTTTT